TCCTCCTCCTCCTCCTCCACCCGCAGATCGCCGAACAAACCACCCGGTTCTTGGTCATCATGCTCACCATCGGAGTCGAACGTGTGCATAATTCTCTGCAAACTCGATGCTGCGGCAGCAGCCCCGGCCATTATGGACTCCTCATCCATGTTGGGCGTGGCCTTCTCGTCGGCGCGGCCTTCTCGTGAGTGTGTGTGTAGATGTGTTCGTGTGTTCTTGTGTTGTTGGGGNGTGTGCATAATTCTCTGCAAACTCGATGCTGCGGCAGCAGCCCCGGCCATTATGGACTCCTCGTCCATGTTGGGCGTGGCCTTCTCGTCGGCGCGGCCTTCTCGTGTGTGTGTGTGTAGATGTGTTCGTGTGTTCTTGTGTTGTTGGGGTGTGTTCGTGTGCGTTGGCGGCGTATGTGCCGAAAACGCGGCGCTATTGTACTTGCCTTTTCCGCCGCCCAAACATTTTCTCGACCTTCCCCATTTCAAAATGTTTGTCAAACATTTTGTCAACCGAGCGACTTTTGCCCCATTTCAAAATCATTGAGAATATTTCGCCGAAGATTTCCTCCCATAAAAAGTGAAACAAAATCTTTATCCGCAAATGTTTGAAAATTTAGACATTTTCCCAAAGATTTGGTGACCATAAACATGGGCCTAATAGGGAAATTTTTTATTTAAATTTCTAGTTACTTTGTGAATTGATTTTTTTTTTTATGATTTGTCTCTCCGTAATTTGGGGCAGGGAAGGGGGGGGTACCCGTTTGGGATCGGGCAGAAGCGGATACGAGTTATAGAGTGGAAACAAACTTCTCCGTTTTGGGGGAGACATGATCGTGATTTCGGGCAAGGGAAGGGGGGTAACGAGAGGGGATCGTGCAGCGGCGGAGCCCAGAAAGTGGAAGGGAGCCTCTCCGTTGCTGAGGGAGGGAAGTGTCCAGCACGCCTCTCTCCGTGCAACCAAAGCGAAAGCAAAGTCGAACACTACTTGTGTGCTGCTGTTTGAGCGACATTGGCAATCTGGGTCCTGAGTATGACTATCTAGCGGAGCGGTGGCAGGACGAAAAGAGCGCCATGCTAACAGCAAAGCGAAGCAAAGCTCGCGAAAAGAGCCTTGCAGCTTTATTCTTCTCACCGTGCGCTTCTCACTGAGCGAGTACAGTGTTTAAAACGACGGCAAGGGCAAATGTACGATTAGGTACGTACCTCCGCCAGAGGTATCTCGTAGATGATGCTCCCCCTCGCTGACGTCACGAACTTCATGTCCATCAGCACACCCCGACGGCTCTGGCACAGCTCCATCAGAGTGCCGGTGTACTCCTGTTGGACGACACACACACGAAGTCTTTGATCCGGAGAATAGATTAATCTCCCCCATGCCGCCCCCTCACGGGGTCCCAGTTCATGGCATTTAGAAGTGTTTTTTGTTTTCAACTGCACTGAGACTGACGTCTTTGCATTGGTGAGCCGGTTAGCGCGGTCGATGCCAACAATAAAAACACACACAAACAACGCGGGCGGGACGGAGGGGTCAACGCGCGCAATAATCGTTCATGCCGTCACCAAGCGCAAGGGATATTTTTGCGAAGAAACAGCGACTGCGAAAATCAACACAATCACCAAGACACCACAAACAGAGGCAGCAGCAACAGCAACCACAAAGATGTACTCCCGACGGTTTGTGGCAAGTCATCACACCCCTTCACCCGAAGCAACATCTTCTCGACAACACTCCCGACAACAAGGGCGGTTAGCCTCCAGCGCAGCGGAAATCCCAAGCACGCCTGGCGAATCAAATGTGAAAGAAAAAGGAAGCCCGATGCGTGTGTGGCCGACGTGGCACGGCGCCTGGGACATGAACACACACGGAGTCGACCGAAATGAAAATTGTTCCAGGAAGAGAAACAAGAAAATAACAGCCGACGGTCCAAAATGCGCACAAAACGAGCAAAAAAAAACGACCCTTGCCGCAATGGGGGAAAGGTAAGCATAAGCTTTACAACGCCCTCAAACGAAAGAAGGACGATGTTGTGAGAACTTTATACCCTACGTTTCGTCTGTGCAACCACCATGTAAAAAAAAAAAACACCTGTGGGGTGAGCATCTCCAGCCTGACGAAGGGCTCCTGAGTGCCGCTCCGCTTGTCCGCGTCCGGCATCTTGAACGGGCTGTCGACATCAATCAGTTCGCCCTTAGGCGTCCGCTGCGCCACGCCGCCGCGACAAACAACAGCAAGAGACGCAATAAAACGGGCGCAATAAAACACAAAATAAAAACGAGGGACGAGAGAGACCAAGGCGGAATCGGCCCACAATGAAGAACAAGAACCAATCAATCCTTACGCCCCCATGTGCAACTAGGAGATAGACACGGCGAAAACAACGTTTACCTACGCATACCGATCAAAAACCAATGAGGACACCCATGTCCGAATGGAAGATTGATACCCGGCTCAGTAATCGAAAGCTGCTGTGAAAGGAGGGAACCGTCCTCGACAGACGTTGCGGGAGATGTGGCACTTCTTAAAACCTCCATCCCCCCCACAATCGCCGAATCTGACTCAGTCATCAACATACCGAATACGACACGGGATAACACATCGCCTGGACCGATTTTCAAAGCTCCATTACTCCACAATGAAGAGGATGCATAAACGAAACGACACGTTTTCGGAAAGTTCTCGACAAGACGGCTTCAACGCCGCCGTTTTTGACACCGCCACTGCTTGTGCTGTGGAGAAATCGCGCTTCGAAAGTCGGTCCAGGGAGTGTGTTCTCTTGTGTCGTATACCGTAGCCCCCCTCCCCCCCCCAACCTTCCTTCCTTCCGTGTCTCACCGCCTTGTAGACAACCGAAGGTGCTGTGATGACGAGGTCGAGGTTGTACTCCCTCTCCAGCCTCTCCTGCACGATCTCCATGTGCAACAGCCCAAGGAAACCGCACCTGTGTGTTGTTCGCGGCCGCCGCCGCCGCCGCCGCCCGCCGGCCGGCCGTCGCAGAGAAAAGTTGGGTTGGGTTGGACACATCAAATCGTACTCGAGAACGCTCTAGTCTTCGCCGTGAAAAACAAAAAAACGTACTTCGGGGGCTAACCGCTACAGCCTTCAACTCAAACCAGCAACGAAAAAGAAGGGCAGGTCGAAACCTTCACATCATACACAGGACTGCTGTGCATGGTGGTGGTGGTTGGGTTTTGCCCGTCCCCTCCTCACCCGCAGAGCCTGGTCCGGTGAGAACCCGGCGTGCTCCGTCCCGTCTTTGTAGGGATGCGAGGTCAATGGTCTAACGACTACGGCATGCACGACTATGAGTACACCCCCCCCNCGTCCCGTCTTTGTAGGGATGCGAGGTCAATGGTCTAACGGCTACGGCATGCACGACTATGAGTATTAGTACACCCCCTCCTCACCCGCAGACAAGGCAGAACAAAAAACGCCCAGCACGTTCTGGCAACAGCCCATGCCAATGAGGGGGTACGGGGCGTCCGACACCACCATGCCAACACCAAGCGCCAAAATGTCAACATCTGTCTTGCCCCCCTGTCTCTCTCTGCCGCCACGAAACATCGACACACCGCAGCTGCTTCCTCTGGCGGGGTACCAGAACAGCGAACAAACAACACCACGCCGACGGACTGTTCTTGACGTAGTCATTAAATCTACTAAACACAAGTGCCGGGGCGGACACTCTTTCTCGCTGACACCACGCACCCCCCTCCAGACGGGCCCGACTGAATAGACAACAACACCTCCGCAAATCTTGGCGCCCGAATGACCATACCAACACTTCGCCTTGCATAACACAACGCCAATCTTGCTACCATCTTGACCCTGTTGCGGCGACAAAGGAGAGAAACACGCTAGGGTACAGTGAGTTATAAACCTGCCTGAAGCCGAAGCCCATCGCGGACGAAGCCTCCGGCTCGTAGGCCAGAGCGGCGTCGTTGAGCTTGAGCTTCCCCAGCGAGTCTCGCAGGATCTAGACGGGAGCAGCGGTGAGCGAGAGAGAGAGGGGGGCACGCACCAGCAACAAGCGGTATCAACAGCAGGGAGGTTAGGTCAGCCCGGAGCCATAGGAGCAGGAACATCCGTGGCAAAACAACCCCTACCACCACCACCATCACGAAACCAGCAACGCTAGGCGTGCAAGACCAGCATCAATGAGACCAGCAGCGGAAGAAGAAGCGGGCCGGCGGGATGGTGCGAAGGGGTGGTGATGTCGGTGTGTGTGTGAGCGTGCGGGTGAAAGCAACACACACACAAAAAAAAGGGACCAGCATCGTCGACCGTGATAATCCATTCCCGCGTGGAAGGAATATCAGCCAGTGCAAGAATGAAACGGCGCCGGGTATCGTCAAATAATACGTGACGACAGCGACGACGCCTTTTAAATCTTAGGAACACTCGTGCAGAGAGACGGTGGAACACCATTGTTCAGTCGCAGTAATCATAGCATCCTGGCGATTTCGTCCTGCAATGCACGCTGGTGTCGACGGATAGAGACGTGGTGCATGTTGACCTTGCACCAGTCAGAGCAAAAACGCAAGATACAGACGAACGAGCTAGAAACCAGCACATATCCCTACCCGAGAAAGAGCTTGCCAAATCATAATCGTCCTTGTCTGGCTCGAGTGCACTACACCAGAGACACCCAAGGAACACCACGACCGAGGCACCACGCCCCCCCCCCCCCCCCCCCCCCCCCCCCCCCCCCCCCCNCCGGATTCGACGAGCACGTACCCCCCCCCCCCCCCCCCCCCCCCCCCTTCCCGCAGGCTGCACGTCGACGACATGATGTGGCGTCGGCCCTCCCCTAAAAGGAATACCGTAAAGAGGTTTGCGCCTAAAAACTACAGTATGAAGGAAAAAACGGTGGGACGAAGCCTGCGCGAGCTCCATCTCGTACGCTTCCATGCACGAGCAGAGCAAAACAATGCTCTTAACGCCCACGCATGCAGAGCAAGCGATAGACATCCGCGTCCTCGTTGCCACGAAATGAGTGATTTTGATTAGCTGGCTGGTTGACTCACTTCGTAGTCCTCCGCGTCGGTGGGATACAGCCCGCAGAACACCATAGGCTTCGCCTCCTCGTACCCGTCCAAAGGCTCCTCCGACGCTTCAGAAAAAAAGAAAAAAAACGCAACACAACAAGTAATGCGTGAAGACGGGGGGCGGGATTACCATGGTTCAATGTCGCGCTTCTCGTATGATTTGTCCTGAAAAACCGTACCGTGAGGTTCCCACAACGGAAAGCAAGCCACACCGAATGACACGGTTGAGCGAAAGGTACCAAAAGCAATCAACCATCATCTTCTATGGAAATCCCAGCCAAAGCAAAACACACTGTCACAAAAATGTATCAAACTGGAATGGAACATCATTATCTCATGACGAAACAGTGATTACGACAAAATAAAACCATTTTTTCAAGGTACCACAACATTTTTCTGAAAAGGAACGACGGGCGGATCTGGTCTCACGTTCCTTGGCGCTGGTGATGGTGTCTCCCACGCGAGCGTCCAGGACGTTCTTAACCCCGCAGACCATGTAGCCCACCTCGCCAGTCCCCAGCCGCTCCATCTCGTACGCCCCGGGTTTTCGCACCCCGACCTCGATCACCTTTTAGCACACAATCAAACATGCAAAACACACAAACGTACAACAGTGTAGACAAGAAATAATGCACCCATTTCAGAGCCAACGCGAACGCAAATCTACTTGTGGGAGTGGCATGAGCGAAAAAGATAATATTGTTATCACCGTATCTAATACCGAGTAGGGGGGCTGTTGGGTGAACCAAGCACAAGGTACGGGTGTACGGAGATCTAGGGGGTTTCGTGCATGTGGGTATCTTTCACTGGAAGGGTGGAGGCCCTTCTGTTATGCAGGGCTTGCGTGCCCTGCTGTTCACTCGTCAATAACAACGTCTTGAGTCAACCTTCTGCCCACAGCCTCTGACGGTAAGCACCCGCTGACCAACACCCGAGAGCAAACCAAAGACAAGCAACCGCCAGCAGCACAATCTTCTTAAGAGAGAGCGAGCACAAGATCGAAGACCAATCTTCTAGCGAATGTAGAAGAACAATACTGTTGTAGCCTCAAAGCGAGGCGCGCACACAACAGCAGACTTTGTGGAAGGGGGGAAACTTTTGAGTTCTTTGCTACTTCTGTTGTGCGCTCGTGCCAACTCCGATCATGATACAAACGCTACCGAAACGTGGTGTTGGCGCACGCAGAGGATGGAGGAAATTGCTAATGTCGGTGTGAGTTCCCAGGCCTTCCGTTGAGGTGGCGTCGCCCAAGACGAACCACACGTGAAGAACAGGCGAAAACAAACAAAAGCACGACGGGAATAGAGGGAGTACAACAAAGGCATTAAGGAGTGATCTCCTTCCTGTTGTTTGTTCACCTCGCGCTCGACCCCGTTGGCCATGAACTTGATCTTGTCCCCCCTTCGGATCTCACCGTCTACGATGCGGAAGTACACGATCACACCCTGCGGGCAAAACAAGCAACACACACACAAAATTGCACATTTTGTTGCACGGGTACATGTTCCCTTCTAGACAGTCGAAAGCAAGAGACACAGCACGGACAGCCTTATCTCTCGTTGTTCTTGTTTTCGACGTTGTCACACCTTCACGATGCATCATTTGTACACAAGAGGGCGTTCAGCAACCGTCATCCCCCACGTACAGAGTACCAATCCACCACAATGATAAGAAATAGAGGGAGAGAGCTGTCGATACAACAGAACACACGCCAGCGCACACACATCGTAAGATAGCCGTCGCCAATAACGACGGCACTTGCGCTGCTGCTGTTGGAGACTATGCTTACCGATACAGGCAACAGTAGTAAAAGAGAGGACCGCGGCAACAAACGCGGCAAGCATAAGCACACACATCATCAAGCCACACACACAAAGAAGCATTTTATTTTTTCCGCCGCACCGAGACTGACGCCTTTCCATTGGGCAACCAGGAACAGTAGCGCGGTCGACGCGAAGAATAATGGCACACACACCATGAAAAAATACGGTACACACCTTATACTCGTCGTAGACGGAGTCGTAGATGAGCGCCCTAAGGGGTCCCCCCGTGGGACCCGGAGGTGGCGGGACGTTTTTCACCACCGCCTTTATTTTTTTTTTGGGTAGCGCGTCGGACGAAGACAAGCACCAGCGGGGGGGGGGGGGG